ATGTGATAACTCATTGTGGTTTTAATGTGCATTTCTCTGATGATTAGTGACTTTAAGCATTTTTTTTCATATGTCTCTTGCCCTTCTGTATGTCCACTTTTGAGAAATTCTGTTTCGGTCCTTTGCCCATTTTTAAATTGGATTGTTTTTCTTCCTTTTGTTGAGTTGTATGAGTACTTTATATATTTTGGATATTAACCACTTATCAGGCATATCATTGGCAAATATGTTCTCCCAAACAATGGGCTCCCTTTTCATTTTGATGGTGGTTTCTTTTACTGTGCAAAATAAGAACACATCTTATTTTAATGTGGTCCCATTTGTTTATTTTTCTCCTCAGTTTCCTTTGCCCTAGATGTATCCATCAACAGATTATGTGAGGTGTCTGAGATTTTACTGCCTATGTTCTCCTCTAAGATTTTTTATGGTTTCATGCCTTACATTTCCGTCTTTTATCCACCTTGAGTTCATTCTTATGTATGGTGTAAGTGGTGGTCTAGTTTCATCTTTTTGCATGTGTCTGTCCAGTTTTTCCAGCACCATTTCTTTAAGAGACTGTCTTGCTTAATGCCTTTGAAATTCATCCTGTTATGTTTAGTTAAAAGCTCTCTCTTTGTTATAATTTAAATTCTTTTTTTTAAAATATATTTTATTGATTTTTTACAGAGAGGAAGGGAGAGAGATAGAAAGTTAGAAACATCGATGAGAGAGAAACATCGATCAGCTGCCTCCTGCACATCTCCTACTGGGGATGTGCCCGCAACCCAGGTACATGCCCTTGACCGGAATCGAACCTGGGACCCTTCAGTCCACAGGCCAATGCTCTATCCACTGAGCCAAACCGGTTTCGGCTCTTTGTTATAATTAAGTGGCATTCCATATGAATAGACCACATTCTATTCACCATTGAAGGACTTTTCAGTCCTTTACAATTTTTGACTACAATGAATAGAGGTGCCATAAATATTTGTGAACAAGTCTTTTAGTAGATAAATGTTTTCATGTGGGGGAGGAGGGGAACCACCTAAAAATAGAATTGTCCTGATGTGTGGTAAGTACATAGATATCATTATAAAAAACTGCCAAAGCTTTTCCAAGTGCTATACCATTTTGCATTCCCTCCCGCAATTTATGGGAGTACCAGTCGTTCTGTATCTTCACCAACATTCGGCAGTGTCAGTCTTTTTAAATTTTAAAAATGGTCTATAGTGTATCTTACAGTACCTTTAATTTACACTTCCCTAATGATTAACGATATTGAGCATCTTTTCGTATGTTTATTAGTGCTAATCTCTTCTTTGGTGAAGTGTCTATTCACGTATTTTGTCCAGTTACTAATTCAATTGCTTATTAACTAAAAGCGTTTGATATACGTTCTTTATGTTACATATATCAAGTCTTTTGTTTGATGTTTTGAAATGTCTTCTGCCAGCCTGTGGTTTGCCTTTCAATTTTATTAACAGTGTGTTGAAGAGCTAAAGTTTTTAATTTGGATGCAATGTGTGTGTTTTTTTTCCTTTTACATAGTTCATGCCTTTTTTTTTTTTGTCCTACCTAAATCTTTGCTTAACCCAAGGTTACAAAGATTTTCTTAAATATTATCTTCTAGAAGTTTTATACTTTTAGGTCTTTGTCATTTCAAATTAATTATTCTTTATGGTATGAGGTAAGGTAGAGGTTTAGTATTTTTTCTCCTTACGGATTTCCAATTGTTGTTCCAGCTTGCCTTTCCTCATTGAATTGCCTTAGTATTTTTGTCAGAATTCTGTTCGTACATATATGTTTAGATTTATTTACGAACTTTTTATTGTGTTCTATTGATCTATTTTTACTCCAGTACTGTACTGCCTTGATTCCTGTAGATTCTGAGTAAGTCTCAAAATTATTCAAGTGCTTCACTATTGTCCTTCTTCACTGTCATTTGACTATCCTAGGTCCTTGCATTTTTGTATATATTTTAGGATAAGTTTATCAATCTCTATAAAAAAGACTGCAGGCCGAAACCGGTTTGGCTCAGTGGATAGAGCATCGGCCTGCGGACTGAAGGGTCCCGGGGTTCGATTCCGGTCGGGAGCATGTACCTGGGTTGTGGGCACTTCCCCAGTGGGGGATGTGCAGGAGGCAGCTGATCGATGTTTCTCTCTC